CTTTTTAATACCGGTTGGAGTCTATAACCTTCGTAACGACAGTATATCGACCGTTTATAGGGTTAGGGTAATAAAAGGATTAATTAAATTACGAGAGGGGTAGGAGTAGAGGGTATATTACTACGGGAGGATAAGGTAGTAAGGATTTTATTAGTAGGTAAATCGGTTAACTAAAATTTAAATAATATAATAAAATAATAATACTAGCTAATATAGTAAAGGTACAATTTTATAACGGTTTTATATCTAATATTATTATACTTATTATAAAAATCCTTCCCGGAAATAGTTTTATTATATATAATAACCCGGGCGCGGCAGTTATTATAAATAGCGGTAATATATATAATATTATATAAAGAAATTAATTACTTTATTCCTACGGTTATATTATCGCTAATAATATCTTTTATATAATTTCGCTATATATATAAAATCTTACTAAATAGTATCGTCCTAAACCATTATTTATAAAATTCGCTATTATTTTACTTAATTTTAACCTTTTTAAATAAATTACGTTCTTTAATAGTAGGTAATTTAGTACGGCTAGCGGTAATATATAAACCGACTATATTAAATTAAACCTATATTAAATTAGAATATTTAAAATACAACAGCGGCGGTACTATAGTAATCGGTTTATAAGCAGCGCAGGGCTAGACTAGTAGTACTAAGGTAATTAACTTAATTAAAAAGGCTATTTCACTATTATTATTACCCAATAAATAAAATAAAATATTAAGAACCCGTTTTTTAAAAGTAAAACGGACGGAGAACTATTATTTAACCTTATTATTATTATTAAAATCCTCTTCGTTATTAAAAATTTTAATAAGTATTACGGATTTAAAGGAGGATAATAGCAATTCTAAGATTAGAATTAAAATTAGTTTTAGCGCGGTAGCCTTCCCCTTCTTAACGGCGGTCTTTTTAATAACGGTTTTCTTAACGGTAGTCTTAATAGGAATAATCTTTTTTTTAGGTAGAATAATTTTAAGGATAATTTTAATAAACTACTTAATTTTATAACTCTTTTTTTTAGGGTGGGATGAGGCGCGTTATAGAATTATTAAGCTAGGATCTTCCTAATTTTAATCTTCATGAAAATAAATTATTAATATACTATTTTAAATATAAGATTACTTTATACTAACGGGTTTTAAATTAAAGATTATTTTAGGAGGTATTATTATGATAGATTTAATTAATTATTAGTATTGTAATTACTTTGCATATTGAAATAGCTTTAAATTAATATAGAAATTGTTGTAAAATGATGAATTTTAATAAAGTTGTGCAATATAGAAGTGTGGTGTGTGTGTGTGTGTGTGTACGCACACACACCTCTTGCCAAGACTGCACAGGCGATTGAGTGTGGGAACATGTCATCTTCGACTGCAGTGCCTGGTTCATAACCGAATAAACGACGCAACGAACTTGAGCGTCTAGTCCAAGTACTACTACCTCTACCACAGTGGATTCCGCGCACAATGAGCTGAAATAGGAAGGCGACGTCCGTCGAATTGATCTTTCCCAAACGAGGTAATCTGGTGAATGATTGATGTGTTATATGTACACTACCTGGAGGTAGGTATAAGCCCTTCTTCGTTCATACCCGAATTTCCACCTCAAGCTCGCTATCAACATCCTGTGTTCCTGTCAGACCAAGTCACCTTCATTTCAAGCCAATCCCCAAGGGCACTCAGTCGTCTCCCAACCGCGGTATCTTGCACCCTCTATCTAGGAGCAACCAGTGGCGCGATTAGAGAGGCACTGGGTAGTGCAAGTATTTCCAATCAAGGTATCCCTGGTCAATGCGCTGACATAGCTGTCGCTAACACAGCCATTCAGCGCCTTCCGGGCCGCGGACTGCAGGTACCAGAACTGCGCATCCTGGACGACATTCGCCCAGCTGATGCAGCACTGGTTGCCGCCCTGGCTCAAGCAGACCGAGCGAGGAGACTGCGGGATGGTCTGGCTCGAAAGACCGTTGATCAAGTTGGTGCACACGGGCGCGTAGGCCCGGTGGGAACCGGAGCAGGTCACGGCGTTGGAGCCGCAGCGTTTGTCGAGCTCGGGTGACGGGGTGAAGCGGGCCGTGATGGGAGTCGATTCATCGCCATACCTGGCGGGAGAGGGGTTAGTGGCCACCTATGGTGCGGACGTGAAGGGGATGAAAAGGGGTAATCTACCAGGTGATGGTTCCGTTTTCGGTCTTGGTCTGCTCAATGATGATGAGACCGTCCTCAGCGGGAGCCGGAACAGGGCTAGCGAAGGCAATGGCGGCCAGGAAGGCGCTGAAAGCGAGGATCTGCTTGGGGAGCATCTTGAGGGTTGTTCTGCTGAAGTGCGTTAGCTCTGGCTCAAATCCGGCAAGATGGTCTTGACTCTTGAGCCTACCAGTTCAAAAGGGCTTCGAAGCGGTGGGTTGAGGACTTCTAAGGATCCTGCCGCAGAGGATGGTGATGAAAGTGAGATCTTCAGACCAAACTCGAGCGGCGACTCTAACATTTATACACGAATCTTCTCTCTATGACCAAAGGCCTGGGCGGAGATGCACCCACCATAACCAGGCCTCTCAGTGTCGAGTCGTCGGCACCTCTTATCCAGAAAATAGCCATCTACACTCGAGACCTATGGTGTATGAGCCTCTCGGCAAGGGTGTATGACACATAGTCAACCATTTATTTGACCCATCCGACACACGTGCATGTTACAGAGTGTCATCGTGGGCTACACTTTGGTGTTGAGGATGGTCTTCATATCGTGGCATCAGTCACAAACCTTGGTTGACATGGATAACTTGCTGACCTCGCATGAGCCTCAATACTTCAAGCCAATATTGCTGAGTAACGTACTCTGTATCCTTCTCATGCCCCGTGATCGGTTTTCCTGTAGTAGCTAAACTCCGAGCCGTTTTAGTTTCCTCATTCGGCAACTTGAGTACCTCTAAGCATGCTGAGTAAGTCTCTTCCAACCCCGGGAATTGACTTGACCCTATGGGAAGGCCATGGAGCGCAGCACGTAGTGTGAAAATCTCATCTCCGGACACATTTATGTACGATGTGGTGCCGGTGAGCCAGTACGCTTGGTACCTACCTCTAGTCGACTCAAAGTGCCGAGTAAATGATCAAACCACTAAATCCATTGATGTTACCTGTCGAAGGATTATTTGCACCGGTGAAGAGTGGTAGTTGCGAGCCGCACATGTAAAGTGGCATTGGTGCTACCACTGTCAGCACTATACGCCCGTCAACCCATGTCCATGTCGGTCTATGCTTATGCACTATATCATCAATTAGGGTACTCTCCGTTCGCTTATCGTTTCTCCTGGGCTTTCCTGTCGTCTTCTCTCCATGCCTTCCTCTTCAGTTACTCCTATCTACTCCTATCCCTTCCATTTTAAGAGCTTTACCTCTACGGACATCCATCAGGCCTATTACCCAAACACTGTACCGTACATGCTCCTCCCTTCCCCCATCCTACACGAGTATTCCTCGTTAGCCCGCTTACCATATCTTTCCCATCCCTTAGAAATCGGCAGTGAACAATCAGCTGTTCTGCCGGGCCCTTGAGTTTTGTCTGCTCGCCTCAGATACGCATCCTGCCAGGATATACAACTTTGGTAGCCCTTGTTGTCTCTTTTACAAATGAAGCGTGTGTCCTTCTTGAAGTTTTCGCCTGTGAGCGTGTTTGTGACGTCAAGGCAGGCATCGCGGCTGGCGGCAAAGTCGTCTCGACAGGTGAGGTCAAGCTGATCATTGCGGCAGTTGAGGCTTTGATAGGCGGTGGTTTCGTAGGGAATTTGCAGCCTCTCAGATGGCCTCCATGATATGTAATCCAATGCATCAGTCAACGAATCTCCCAAGAGCGATGTTTTCTCATAAGTTTGTTGCCAACTCGACCCGTTGGAATGCTACCTGCCCAACGCAGACTGTGGGGGATTGATCGCGCAGGCAGGATAGTGCCAACAGAGCGTTAGTCTGTGAACGCATGAGGTCGTGTCTATTTCTAGAGAAGCAAAACGCCAACGGAATACCTGTCCGGATTTCCAAAGGTGTTGTCTTTCCCCGTTGCGTTCTTGAGGTAGCAATAATCGCCTTCTGTCGGTATCGGACGGTAACGGCTTCTCGTTAGCTGGGTGTTCCCCTTGATCAAGACCAGCATGTTTGTGTGCGAAAGTACCCTAGGTAAACTTGGTATTGTTGCCACTCACCGCTTTTTACTATAGCAACACTCCTGCACAGTCCCATATCTGTTCCATCCTGTGCTCCTCCCGGTCTTTGCGGCCTGTTTTCCTGGTAAACAATATTGTACGTTGCGCAAGCATCAATACACGCTTCCAGCGTAGGCAGGTAAAGTTTCATAATGTCCAAAGTGTCTGGGTTGCCGTGGGGTGCTCCGGCCGGATAGTTCCTGTTACAGATGCGAACGAAGGATTGAACCTTTGTAAGGCCGCCCGGGTTAATCGCTACGGTCATGCTGTTTCCTAAGGCATCGAGGGGGGTGTATTGGGTGTTGTTAACGGAGGGACAGTTGTCGCTTGGAGCGGGCGAAGGACCGAAGGCGGTTAACTGCGTGCCAGTGGTGGTCGTTGGCGATGTCGTCGTCGTAAGTAGAGGAGAGGCTGATTCTGATTGCGATGGTGGACTAGCGATTGTTGCTGTTGTCGTGGTCGATGAGATGCTTGATCCGGAGATGGACAAGGATGATGGTGGTGATGCCTTGGACTCTGAAGAGTGTTGGCTTGCAGCCAGACCGCCGCCTATGCCTCCGCCAATGGCTCCAGCGAGCAACATGACTAACCCAATGACAACCGTCCAGAATACTGGCACTGACAATCCAAGCAGTTTCGTGTCTTGGGGTTGTTGCGGGTAGGCATCAGCTCCGCCTTCTAGCCCGGACGTAGCATAAGAGGGAAAATTTCCAAAGCTGCTGGGCTGCCCCTGCCTCTGCGGATGGTATGCTACTTCTAGATTGGAATGACCCGGGTTGTAGCATTTCGCGTTGATCATGTCAGGGTCCGCCATGATGTCATGGGAGATGTGATTTGGAAAGAATGTGTAAAAGAACGGAAGTGGATGAAAAGAGAGCAGAACAGCCAGGCACACAAGAAGGAGAACATGGAAAGCGAGTGGACGCAGGATACCTCTACCTATTTGTTTCGTGTGTCTGATAGACCCCAAATGAACCGTGCCGCCGCCTGAACACGAGATAGGCCATTTCTGGACGAACCAGATACCTACTCTCTGAACGAGAGAGCTTCATTGCTCAAGGAAGCTCTGCCTCATCGATGGCTTCATTCCGTGCCGCACAAAACCTGAGCACCTCATCGCCGGGCTCAGCCTTCCGCTTCAGCTCCAGCGCCGGAAATGCTGCGCTGAAACGTGGAGTCCTGGCGTGAATAACCATCGGCGAGTGTTTTCCAGAAGCACTGCATTGAGTGGCACCCGTCTTTTCTCGATCCAGGTTCGGGAGACATCTAAGATCCGTCCGCCGGGTTTGACGGAACGAAGCATGGAAGCGCCGCTGCCGTGGGCTGAATGCCGATTTTGGTGGGTAAGACGGGAAGAGCCATGGCCCGTGATCGATGCAGGGGCCTGATGCCCTTAAAACTTCAAGTTGGGCAACCGCAGTGAATGCTTCAGTGCTGTGCTCCTTGTTTGGGGGGGGGGGCTTTTCCCCGCCGGCAGGCACTGCAGGAACTGAATGCAGATGTAGGGCGAGACTCCACTCGAAGGCTCCCTATTTGAGTCCGTTGATTGGTCAGTCTCGTCCACGACAAGAATATTTTGGGACCTTCCACTGCACTGAACAAGCTTCAAGCTCCAACTGGGCTGTGCCCCCTGCGTCTACCATCGCTTCACTTTTCTTCCCTTCCACCAACCGGACCTGGGATAACCAAACCTAGGTATCTTACCTACAGGTATTGATTGATTGTGAATACCATCCCACCCACGGAAACATACCTACGTAAATTCTGCGACATTTCTCTTGACACCTTCGCTAGTATATTCGACTCAGTCTCCCATACCCAGAGCTTGCCTTCTTGTCCTGCGCCTCTTTACTGCACCCTGCACCGAGCCAGGCACTGGTAACAACAACATCAACAAGTCATCAAGAAACAATACCCACCCCCTGCGCCGGCGCGGATCGTCATAGTGGGGCACGCCGGACCGACAAGTGGTCATTCCCTCACGGCATCCGGGCCCAAGCTCCCGTTTCCGCCAGCACTCTCTCTTCCCGTCCCAACTTGAGCTGCACCTCTCTGTCAGGGACCCTTGCTTCCGTCCTACCAATCGGAATCCTTCCTTGTGGTATTCATTCAACATGCCCGTCGAAGTCTTCCTCATCACCGTCGTGCCTGCAGCCGATACCACCAAAGCCCGCTCGGTCCTCCACGGCTACACCGAGACGCGTCCCGTCACGCACCGTTTCACCCGTGTGCGGCACGTTCGTCGCCTCGACCAGTCTATCCGGGGCATCCCCATCCTGAGGTCCCTGCAGTCCTCGAACCCCAAGCCCGACAGCCTAGCACAATGGCAGGACCTGCACTCGACGCTGTCTAGGCAGCAATACATGCTGACTGAACGTGTGGATATAACCCAAGACGCCGAGGCTGCCGTGGCTGCTGGTCAGCCGGTGCCCATGTCGGAGCAGACGCAAAAAGGCGAGAGGATCCTGCGCTTCAATGACTTTCCTGATCCTCCCAACCCCCGAGTCCCACAGACGGTGATGCAGCGCAAACAAATCGACATCCGCGAGCCCGGCCCCTTGCTCGAGCAGCACATGGCCGATTCCGGCTTCTCTGTGGCCAACGAGTACATTGAAGAGACGTACCACTGGTGGGACAACAACAACCTCGAGTTCGTTCTGTGGAGGCAGTACAACGACCTTCCGAATCCCACTCCGGCGCCGCTTGTCCAAGTTGCCGGTCAAGCGAACTGGATGGTGCCTGACATGAGCAAGATGGAGCCTGTGGCGCCTTTCTGGATGTTGTATGTGCGTGCCCTGGTAGATGCCAACCCGGTAGACAGGATGGCAGAAAGAATGGCGGAGGCGCATGGCAGGTTGGGAAAGGTGGAGAAGGAGCTGGAGGGCGTGTTCAGCTTTATGGTATTTGACCGCAGGGCGCTTGACACAAGGTATACGGGGGAGGACCCGGAGTAAGAAGTAGAATACTGAGCCTTGGGGGGAAAATATCGGTACGAGTGAAGAGGAAGATGGTGCCAAAGACGACGCGGTACTTCAAAATGTATAATTTCATGGTCAAACACTGATCATTAGCATCTGATGTAACCTATACGGGCTAGTATCAACCCTCCATGATGGAAGAAACAACATTGACTTGATATCGAAACGCCTGGTCAAGCTGACCAAAGGTTTCGAGCCAACAAACGTGATCGGTTTCTAGTTTGCTCGTTGTCAAAAACAGCACCAGGACGGAGGTACCGCGTCGGCTCTGGCCCCAGGTTAGTGTAGTATGTGTTTTGCTCGGGGTACAGAGCTAACACATAACCATCTGCGAAGGTTTTCACTTTGACAAGAACCTCTGCTCACCTCTTTTTCAGAAATGGACATCTCGCATGGGCTACTAAATGGAATACCTTTACACTACAGGACCATACCGCTTGAAGTATGGGGAAGAGGGGTTGGATTCTAGTAGTCATATACAAACAGCTACACTAAATAGGTACTCCAGTGATCAAACCATCCTTAAGTCTAGCGTAGCGGGACATGGGCTTAATCTCAATAAGTACCTACCTCTATGTATTGTTACAGCCAACTTGGCGATTGTGTGTGATGAATGGAAATGGTCAGTGGGTTCGACAGCGTGATGCCGGTGATACCTCTAACACTGACTCGTCCTCGCTCGAATTCCGCAAGTGCGGGATGGCCGCGCGACTGATCGGCAGTCGGCAGGCCGCGGGTCGATCGGGGCGGGAAGTTCCACTTGTAGAAACCGTCCATCCGATTGGCGAGTTCCGAGCACTGGCACCCGACGCTAAGTACCTATTCGAATTTAGTGCACATTTCAATTGCGCCGCGGCGGCCATTCTCCGGCTGTTCATTTTTCGGTTCCCTACCCAAGTACGGCGTCACCGCTTCGTTATACGAATTCCGTCGTGTCGCTCAATGAAACAGCATCATGATGTTCATTGTTCCTTCTCGAATTCTCAAACTTGAGTTCCATTTTACAAAAACGGGGCGAGTCCCGTCGACGCTCACCAGGTCGGGTGCAACACAACTTGGACACTAGTCGGCCGATCGTCTCGTCGAGCCCCGCACACCGATACGACGCTGCGCTACCGTACCGAGGCTTAGTACATACCTACATGCCTCGCTACAGACCTCTAGACGACGCTAAGCACTGGACACACGACGCTCCCTCAGTCCCGGTCGATGGTCTCACGTCCGGCGAGTATAGCAGCGTGTAACGTAGAGGAATCAATGTACTTTGGCTACAAGTAAGTGTCCTTACTGGGCGGATATAGTTACCTAGAGATATCAAGAAAGGTGGCAAGGCAGTCAGAGCTAATGATCATCAACGGTATTACCAGGAACGAAAAGGATGGACGAAAGCCGGACGTTCAAAAATAACATAGCCCGCTCAGCCATGGAAGCAGCCGAAGCAACGTTGGCGCCTGAAACATCCCCTGCAGAATCCACCTCGGCAGCCCCAGAACGCCAGAGACAGCCATCCATCATGTCTTTGGCGTCATGGTGGTGAAACTCAGAGAACACAGGAGCCGACCGTCCATGCCAGTGAGCCAACGGCGGGCCAAGGAGCCCAATCGTCGCCATCGAGACCGCACCCACCAGTAGCAGATCTTATACTACGAAGTCATCACGTCTTTTGACCGATCTGGAATCTCGGACGAAGATGTCAACATCGATTCCATCATCCACACATCGACCGTTGAAAGAGCCCCGCAGCATGCAGGCCGCCAGGCCCCCGCCGCCGACCCTTGATCCCAGTACACTGCAGCGTCACATCCAAGACACTTCAAACGGTCAACTCCTGGCGACAGACAGGACCCCAGGCCGGCATTCCCCTTCCCTGGCAACTCTTTCCAACATTGAACCACACCTCATGTTCCAACGACAAGCTAAAGTCAATCTCTTCTCATCTATCTTCAGCTCCTCCGCCCTCCGTCTCCCAGTTCAATTGCCTTTTATGTCGATCGATTCGAGATGGTCTACGGCGGAAAGCCCTCGCGGGGCTGTCGAACATGTCGCGCTCGCCGTATCAAGGTACGTCGTGCTCTTGCACGCCCCGGCTTTTTCCCTTGCGCGGACGACTGACTGACCCATTTCCCCCCTTCTCGCAGTGCGATGAAGGTAAACCAACATGCAAGCAATGCGCAAAGTCAAAGCGTGAATGCGCCGGCTATCGAAACGAATTTGAGATCGTCCACCGCGACCAGACAAAGTCTACCGTCCGCCGAATGACTAAAGCTCTCAACAAGTCTCGCTCTACTACCACCTCGACCCTGCCGAGTCCCCGTCCGTCTCCCACACGACAACAAACGCCCGATCCCATCGCGACGCTCACAGTCCCCCTCGCTCAACGCGCAATCTGCTATTTTGCCTCCAACTTCCTATACGTGCCGCTGGGCCACATGCCACATGGTCATATGGACTACCTCGTGCCCTTGATCGACTGCGCACCCCCCGATAGCGCCCTCCGAAGCGCCTTCAATGCTTGTGCTATAGCCGCCCTCGGGAATAGAGAAAAAGCAAACAATGTCAACCTCACCAATCTTTCTCTCCGAGAACACACTGTGGCCCTGGCAAAGACGCATGCCGCCCTGGGGAATCCCGCCACTGCCAGTTCCGATGCAACGCTCGCTACAGTGCTTCTGCTGGGTTTGTACGAGGTTCGTCTGTCAACTGCGACTTTCTCCATCTGCGTGGCCCATCCGCTAACGGTTGGCTTGAACAGAGCATCACGGCGATTAAGGAGTCGCGTATGCTGGCATGGCGTTCACATGTTGACGGAGCAATTCAGATTGTCAAGCTGCGAGGCCGAGAACAAATGCGCAGCACCAAAACCGGAACGCTCTTGTTCCAAGCAGTGAGGCATCAAGTGGTACGAACCGCGCTTTCTCCCCAGACAAGCACATACTGACGGCAGGCATACACAGCTCGGCCGCGCACTAACATCGGGTACGCCTCCGCCACTAGGGTCCGATTGGTGGATGGACGACATAGGTGATGGGAGCCATCTCTTGCCTGGTGCCGCCATGCACCGCTTCGCCCTTCGAGCCAGTGAACTGCGAGCCGAGGCAGCTGCTCTGTTGAATGGTATCACGCGGACCGTCGAGAATATCGCACTGATGCAAAACATGGCCCATCGAGTGTATTTGCTAGACCAAGAGATAGCTTCCTGTCTTCTTGCTCTGCCGCCAAACCTACGCTTCAAGACGCTATGCTGGCTATCCTACGAGGAGGTAGGTTTATCGCCAGGGCGACCGAACAACTACTCCAAACTCGAAGTATTCCCCGGCCGTGTGGACATGTACCCCGACTTTGTAACCGCCCGTACATGGAACACTGCGCGCACCATACGCCTTGTGCTAGCCTCCCTCGGCATCCGCCTAGCAGCATGGCTCAACATGCCCGCCGACTATCGCACAACTGCCGAGTATGCCAGGTCGAAAGCCATCTGTGAAGACACCATTGCCGACGTCATTGCCTCGGTTCCATACCATCTCGGATGGCACACCAAGCAACCGGGTCTGTTCGGCAACGATACTGACCGCTCTGGCTTCGTTTGTGGTTACGAGGATGCGATCAAGGCCCTTCCAGCTTGGTTCCTGGTCTGGGCCCTGACTTGTGTCAAAAACCATGATATGGCGACTGACGAGCAGCGCGTTTGGGTGAAGGGCCGGCTTCGGTACATTGCCGACCATGTCGGTATGAAGTATGCCAACCTCGTTAACGACGTAGGTTATTTCCTGCCCTCCCAAGTTGCACCTTGTCATTACTTGCTTGACTAACGCCCAACGTCCGACAGCTTGAACTTCGCTTCCCATCAATGTTCATCCGCCAGGACGGCACCATGCCTTCGGCTGATCCACTGAGGGCCGGGACGTTCAAAGGCCGCCCAGACCCCGTAAGCGCAACGCGCACCGCCGTCACTACTCCTCGGACTCCTGAAAGCATGGTTTCTGGAGGAAGGCGTCCGTCGCCTTGATAGGATGACGTTTAGGTTCATTTTTCGATCCCTCTACCATAACACCGGATCAGGAACCACATGGACCGGCCGGAAGATATTCCCGGCGCGGTGAACGGTAGAGGCATGCAACTACTTTGCTGCAAAATGTCGTTGCTTCAATTGATGAGGAAACGAGGACCTCCGGTTGAACAACGCCTTATGGCCACCAAAACTAGAGTGGGAGCCCTTGCCTTCCGATAGCCAATCGGCCAAGAGCTAACCCAGGCATCAGGCATTTAACAGCATAGAAACCATGAGCTTCTGCCGGTACACTCGGTGCTACCACGACCGACAACGCGGCTCACTGTCGAAGTCGACTTGCATATACCCTACACCCAGCCTCGTTGACGCGGCATTGAAATCCAGGGTGGAAAGCGACATTTGCATTTTTTTTTTTTTTTCAGCAACGACTGGTGTAGAAGACAGAAGGATCACTAGCAAACGTTCGGAAGACGGACCGGTTTTACCTTCGAGTCGACATGCCAATCGCTCCCAGCCGCCGGGCAGTTCAATGTTCAGCACGTACAGTAGATCTGTTGAGTGTAATCCAAAGAATGACTTTTTCAACCTTCAGCACTGCGTATTCATCCCTCTTTACCTTGCTTTTTCCCTACTTCTTCATAGTAGTGCCCATCAAGAACATCGATGCTCAACAATGTCCTTGAGCTCGTACATCAAGTGCAGCCCTCCCTTCGCGCAGCTCAACTGTATACCTCTAAGATAAAGCTTCTGGAAGATGAGATCCAAACCATCGAGAACTCTATTGCAAGCGCCAACAGTCCACGAGTTGCCTACACCAACTCGGGATCGGGTTTCCAGTCAATTCATTCTAGCCGTGGCACTCAGAACAACAACAATGGTAGCGGGTTGTTCGTTAACGGCCCCTCTCCGTATCCGCAAACTTCCACTGGGGAGGATCCCTTCAGCCAGCTGAGCCAAAACCTGCTCCCTGATAGCCAAACCTCAGGGTGCACATGCTCGGCTTGATTAGGTACCTCCCTTACCTAGGTACCTATTTGCGGGATACAACCCCCTAACTCTTTCCATCTGGCAGAAGCCCCGCGGAGAGCCAACGGCAGGCTATCTAAGATGTTGCTGGGGAGCCCATGTCTCTAGCCGAAAGCACTGCAGTGGCGTGTGTTTGCGATGTTTCAGTCTGATGCCCTTTATAACGGCCCATCCCCTTCCGTGTCGTTTTCGGGAGCTGGGGGCGCTCTTTCTTTACCAGGGCAGAACGATCGACGGTGCTTCAGCTAGAGGTAAGTACGTTACCTACACTCAGCCACCGCCATACTTCTCGCTTACCTACTACGTGGCTTTAACCAGTGTTCAGCATGATCACATGGTTGCGTCGAGTTGCACCGGTTCGGTGGGCACATGATCGCGGTGAGCTGACTCCTTTAACGCTGCCAGTGAGTGTTTGGGTGATCTCCGTTCGGCGTCCGCTCCCACTGCTACCCTCGGCGCGTGACGTCATGCATGCCCGTCCCTTCCCGACTCCGATATTCAACGGCCCCGTTTAACGGTGCAACGGCGCATCCCCTCCTCTCATCACAACGAAGAAACCCGACATCCGGAAGCCAGCCCTTCCCGTACACCAAAATGTCATCAACCGTCGACCCCGCCATCTTCCGCGCTCTGGCCCTGGATCCCAACTCCGCCTCCGCCAGCATCACGTCCCACGGCGGCTCCGGCTTCTCCTCGACTTATAAGCTCCTTATAACCACTCCTGATGGCAACAACAAAAGGGCATACTTTGTCAAAACCGGCACCGGGCCCGACGCCGCCGCCATGTTCCTTGGGGAACACCACTCCCTCAATGCGATCCATTCCGCCATCTCCTCCTTCTGTCCACGCTCTTATGCCAACGGGACCATGTCCTCCAACTCTAACCAGCATTTCTTGGTGACTGATTTCCTCAATCTCCGCTCTAGCGGTGGTTCGGCCAGATCTGGCAGTGGTGAATCCTTTGCAGCAAAGCTGGCCAAGATGCACACCATCCCCGCCCCGATCCCCGAGGGGTACGACAAGCCCATGTTCGGCTTTCCCGTCCCTACATACTGCGGAGCGACGGAGCAGGACAATACCTGGAAGGAGGACTGGGCAGAGTTCTACGCTGAAAACCGGTTACGCCATGTGCTGAAAGAAGGTGAGAGGATAAATGGAAAGAACAAAGAGTTGCACGACGCGGTGGACAAGGTCGCATCGATGGTGGTGCCCAGACTTTTGGGGGAACAGACGATAGGAAAGGTGACGCCGGTGTTGATACATGGGGATTTGTGGAGTGGGAATCAGGGACGGGGTAGGTTTTCCGAGGAAGGGGGCGTTGAGGAGGTCATCTATGACCCAGCAGCGGTTTATGGGCACTCGGAGTATGAGCTGGGCATCATGAAGATGTTTGGCGGGTTTGGCGGGGGGTTTTGGAAGGAGTATGGGGAGTTGATGCCGAAGCAGGAACCGAAAGAGGAGTGGGAGGATCGAATTGCCTTGTATGAGCTGTGAGTGTTGCGGTGATCTGACCTGCCTGCTGAGATGCTGTGACGAGTCTGATTTGCTAATGGGGCTCGACAGGTACCACCATTTGAACCACTATGCGTTGTTTGGAGGCGGGTATCGCGGCGGCGCCATGTCCATTATGAAGAAGCTTATTGCAAAGTATGCGTAGCTGGGATGTTCGACTTGGCTGGCGAATGGTCCTCAGAAACCGAACATGTGAAAGTCCGCATATCAACCTCGAGTATCAGGTACTCATCGCGCATCCATGTGTCTTTGCAACACCGTGGTACCAAACATTATTGAAATGTCAAAATGTGTTGATGTAGGTGGGTATGGTCTGGCGCCAGTCGTCTGTTCAATGTTAGGATTGATGAAGAGCGCGTTGGTCCATTGTTTGATGCTCGGCCAAAGATATTCTAGGGGCCTAAAGTAGACATGAGAAGCAACGTGGCCCTCCACTAACAGATTTAAGAAAAGCCCAATGCGAAATCTGTTAGTGGTCTCGTGTAGGTGATAAATGGCCATTGTTGATCGCATTTCGCAAAGACGCCATCCATAACATGTTCTAGCTGATAACGAAATGAAGAGCGATTAGTTGTCGCTAAAGCTGGAGAATACTACATGATGACTGACAGAAGCCAACCAGCTGGTCTCAAGACTCACATTCAACACGTGGAAATGTCAGGTCGAGACAAGTGAAACCCCTATAGCGTGATGTCTCTCTTTGTGAGTCCTCCCAAACTGACACTTTTTGACACGCCGGCATCCATCCGATCGATTGCATGTTCACATGGACGTCATCCGTCTCCCAGCGATAATTGTTAAGGATAGCTTGCCGTGCACAGACCATACATGTCACTGTCCAGGTGTTCAATGCATGTCATTGCAGCCGCCAAGAGGTGTCGTTCCCCTGTCAGCGAGTGACAGCAACGATCCACATCATCTTGTGAGAGCTCCATTCTGAGAAGCGACCAGACCATGCAAGCAACGAACCCACATCCAATCCATGACGGGCAGCTTGTAGGTTCCCCCTTTGGACACCCTTTGGGCCTCGATTCTCTGCTTGACAGTTGGCACTCGATACCACCCCCTCCTCAGCCCGAAGCGTGTGGTCCACGACGACGGGACAACAGCAGCAGCACTAGAAGCACCACCAAGTCGGACCACACCCCTCCCCTCCCCTCCCCCCTCTTCTTCTTCTTCTTCTTCTTTGCTGTAGTACAGCCAACTTTCTAATATCACCACCACCCATTCCTTTCTTCTTCTCCTTCCCCTTCTTCCTCTCTCTCAGTCTGTCTTGTTGCTACCTACCCGCCCTCTCCCCGTCGCGTCGTCCGTCCTCTTCTCCGCCACCCCAGCCAGACAACCAACCACGCGCCGCATCATACGAGACATCACGAAACCACCGCCATGAACGGCCACTTCGCCGCCGTCGACAACGGCAACGGGTCGTCGCCCGACAGCAACGCCCACAACTTTGAACACGGTATCCAGGTCATCAACGAGGACAAGCAATACAACACCAACCTCAATGAGTACCTCAACGAGACACACGTTGCCGAGGCCGGCTTCAACTACCACCTCATCTCCGTCTTCGGCTCCCAGTCCACTGGCAAGTCAACCCTCCTGAACCACCTGTTCGGCACCCAGTTCAGCGTCATGTCCGAGCGAGAGCGTCGCCAGACTACAAAGGGCATCTGGATGTCCAAGAACAAGAACGAGGGAAAGATGGCCGACAACATCCTGGTCATGGACGTCGAAGGCACCGATGGTCGCGAGCGTGGCGAGGACCAGGATTTTGAGCGCAAGAGTGCCCTCTTCGCCCTTGCTACGAGTGAGGTCTTGATCGTCAACATCTGGGAACACCAGGTTGGTCTGTACCAGGGCGCAAACATGGGCCTGCTCAAGACTGTTTTTGAGGTCAATATGCAGTTGTTCTTGAAGGATAAGCAGTAGGTTTCCTGTGGTGCGCCCCTAACCGATGTTCACTTACTAACAGTTTAGAAACCAAACCCGCTCCCTCCTCTTCTTCGTTATCCGCGACCATATCGGCGTCACCCCTCTCGCAAACTTGCGCAACACCTTGATCCAGGATCTGACCCACATCTGGTCCTCCATCTCCAAGCCCGCCGGCCTCGAGAACTCCAAGATCGAGGACTACTTCGACTTTGCCTTTGCCGCCCTCCCGCACAAAATCCTGCAACCCGATAAGTTCATCTCCGAGGTTCAGAAACTCGGCTCCCGCTTTATTGCCGGCCACCGCAACAAGGACTCAGATGCCACCGACGACCAAGAACTCACCGGTGGCGTCTTCCTCCCCGAATACCATCGCCGTATCCCTGCCGACGGCCTCTCCATCTACGCCGAGGGCATCTGGGACCAGATCGTCTCCAACAAGGATCTCGACTTGCCCACGCAACAAGAACTTCTCGCGCAGTTCCGCTGTGACGAGATTGCGCGCGAGGTGCAAATCGCCTTTGACGCCGCCATTGCTCCCCTCGAAGAACAACAGGCCGAGTCCACCCGCGCCGGCAAGCCCGCCGTCCTTCCCGATCTCGGTCAAATCGGCGCCGAGGCCCGTGAGAAGTGCGTCAAGAACTTTGAGACTCAGGCCTCCCGCTACCACAAGGGCGTGTACACCACGAAGCGCGCCGAGCTCGAAGACAAAATCGACAACCGCCTCAAGGCTCTTTACCAAGCCCATCTCACCGCCGCTCACAAGGCGGGCGTGACTGCCTTCTCCGATGCCGTCACCAACGCTGTCAAGGCAGGGCAAAAGGCGGGCGGTGCTTACGAGTTCGCCGAGATTGTCGAGAAGCAAAAGACCAAGACTCTTGAAATTTTCAAGAAGGAGGCGCAGTCCCTCGCCATCCCCGGAGTGGCCTGGTCCAACTTCAAGCCACAGTACCTCATCTTTGAAAAGGAGCTCGACGAAGTCTCTGCGCGCTTGCGCAAGGAGGAGATGCGCCGCTTGGCGATTCGTGTAGAGCGGTGGGTCAAGTCCCGCCTAGGCGACGCGATTGGGCTGGAATTCAACAAGCTCGGGTCCGGTCGTGGTGGGTCTGGTGCTCCGGAGTCTGGTGAGAAACCCGCTACCGAGAAGGACATTTGGGATCGTGTATGGAAGGCCTTTATCAGCATTGTGGGTGAAGCCGAGAGCAGGTTTACCGATCGCGCCAAGAGCTTCGAAGCTAGCGACGATGAAGTCCAAGTCGGCCTCTGGCGCCTCCGCCGCAAGTCGTGGGTCGCGCTGCGCGAGAAGATCGAAGAAGAAGTAATGGAGTCCAACATTCTCATGAAGCTTCGCGAAAACTTCGAAGACAAGTTCCGCTACGACGAAGATGGAGTGCCACGCATTTGGCGGCCGTCGGATGACATTGAAGGGATTTACACGCGCGCGCGCGAGTCGACGCTCGGTCTCGTCCCGCTGCTATCCCGCTTCCGCCTGACATCCACCAGTGCCCCTCCGGATTTGATCGAGTTTGTCGGTCCCCAACCGCACGGCGTCGAGCCAGGTGATGAAGAGGACCTGACGCCGATTGGTGGCGTTGACGAGGACGAGGGTAAGTCCCTCGAGGAGGAGACGACGATTTTGAGCGAGCCCAAGAAGCAGGATTTGGTGGTGAGGTTTAAGAAGATGGCAGATGGAGTGTATGTTGAAGCCAAGAGGAGCGCGATTGGCGGGATCACGCAGGTGCCGCTCTACTTTTATGCTGTGTTGTTGGTGCTGGGTTGGAACGAGTTCGTTATGGGTAAGCTTTCCTCCTCCGCCTTTTCTCTTTCTTTTACGCTTCTTGACCCGAGCACTGACCAATTGCAAACAGTCCTCCGTAACCCGATCCTCTTTCTCCTCCTCCTGCTTATCAGCGGCGGCACCTACGTCGCCTACAGCCTCAACCTCCTTGGGCCAATGATGCAGATGGCCAATGCCGCTTCCAGACAAGGCATGGAGATCGGCAAGGCCAAGTTGAGGGACTTTTTGGAGAACCACGAGGGAGCCAGGGGGGCTTTGGGGATGCCTCCAAAGAACGCCCAGAGAGTTGAGAGTGGAATCAGTATGGATACGCTGGATAGCAACGGCAAGAGGAAGGAGACAGGGCTGGGGGCTGAGGATGACATCTAGGTGATATCGGAGAGGTAAATCCTGTTCGGAAGGAAACAAGTGGGGAGAAAAAGGAGTTGAGTGTACCGAGTTACAGCCAGCAAGCGGATGATCACCTGTTGTGGGAGTGTTAGTGCCTGGGTGGGTTGGTATGGTATAGAAAGCTATAAAGTCACTTTATGTTGTTGTTTACCTAGATATAGGAGTTGCCATCCTTTTTTGGTATATCATTTGGGTTCATTTAACGTCTAGTCTACACGTCCCTCACATCTCCAGTTTCGAGACTGAGCTTCCGGCCTTCCCAGCTTGTGACTGAACATGCCAGTTGGTGCCCTCAGGAGAGCCTGGCCGTTGAACGTGATGGACACTATGGCAGACGAGTTAGTGGCACGCATGTGAATGACAATGTTCGCTCCCATGTTTGAATTTACTAAGCCTGCTTATGGAATCTATAGTTTCCAGCCTGCTTCGACTTACCCACTCGCGCAGCAATCCGGTAATGCTGCCAACGGCAACAGCAATCTATAATAGGACATGAACGGTAGAAAAGGATTCGAGCCAATGTAATACAAGACCAAGAACAGGAGAAAAGCGCCCCCCTCCAATACCCCATTTTAGACTCCAATCCCAATCAGCAAAAGCAGAGCAAAGAGGTAAGTAACCTGACAGCGCGGCTTGTGAACAGCGACGGCAGGGAAATGAATAGCAGGGAGTTGGAAAGGTACTCAAGCAAGCATCTGTGTGTGTTTATGTCACTTCTGTGACACTGAGATTTCCCAATGACTGCACAGCAACCTGGAAAACCGGGAACTCGGACAAGAAGACAAAATAACAAGCGAAGAATTGGACCCAAGAAATGCCGGACACCCAAAGACCAAGATGACCGACCGGTAGAGCGAACGACAGGCTAAGGTAGGTAACCCGCAACTATCATGACAAGGAAAGAAAGCCAACAATTGCTTGATTAAACTACGCCCAAAAAAGCGAAAGAAGGGAGGTTCAAGCATCCGAACAACTCACTCCCCCTGTGTACTTCGACTCCATTCAAACATGCCATCACCTAAGCAGAAGCAGAAGCGGCAGCAGATGTGTCCAACACGGAGTTCTCTGCCCCACTGACACCTTCGTCGCCCTCCGAGGATGGCCTAACCTGCACCTCGCACCCTTGCGAGAAGAAGACGCGAGCGGGTTGGTCGTAGTCGTTTTCAATTGAGTAGTAGTTGCCTGTTTTCGTGCACCAGTGTCAGTGTCAGTTCTGTCAAGAACAAATCAGAGTACCAATAGCGTGGGAAGGTGATGGCCAAGAAAGAAAAAGAAAAGGAAGAAAAAAACATACCCCTCGGCACAAACCACATCCCCCCCTTTCCAATCCTAAACACCGTCTCATTCACCGTCACCAACACCCTCCCCGTATACACAAAAAAGGTCATGAACATTTTACGTGAGTTCTTGGGCCTCTTGACCGCTCCGGGGGGCAGATCCACCACGCCCGCGCCAAAGAAGCCTTCGTTGACCGTCTTCGCATACCTAAACGCCGCGTCCTTGACTTTCTGCGTGCGAATGGCTCGACCCGAAATAGCCAGCTGCTTCTCCTGCACTTCGACCTCGTCGTCCAGCGCGGGCGGGTGGAACTCGTGTTGCGGGTACCAGGTGACGACATCGCCTCCGAGAATGCCGGGGTTGAGTTCCCAGGGTTCTGGAGGGGAAGGGTCTTCGTCTCTTTGGGCCCGGCGAGAGGTTCCACCAGCGGCAGCATTGTTGCCGCCGCGCTTGGTACCCCGGCCACGGCTGCGAGAGAAATCCACGACTTCTTCCTCCACGCGCACGACTTCTTTGATGGTGGGCAGAACAAATTTCCTCTTGCGCGCCACCTCCCCGGCACTAGATCCCTTGGAGGACTTGGGCGCGTGGTCGGCGACGAATTCGTCTTCCTCGTATTCGTAATCGACGTGCTCGTTGCGCCAGTAGGCGAGGGGCTTGAAGGAGTGGCGACCGGAACGGGTGCGGATGATGGCGTTGCTGTCGCCGGGGACTTCGCGCCTGTTGATGACGAGACCGCGAGACTTGGGGAGGGGAGGGCCGCGGGGAATGGCAATCGAGGTATCGGCATCGGCGGCGGGTGCGGGAGAGGGTTGGCGCTTGCGGCCACCTTTCGGTTTCGTGGCCTTGGTGGCCTTGGTGACCTTCTCGTTGACGGGTTCGGCGGCGGGGGTTGGGGCCCTACCCTTTCCTTTGGCGGCCCTGGATCGCGAGGGACCGCCTTCAACGGGTTCTGGTTCTGGTTTCTCGACTTCTTTCGGCGCGGGAGTGAGTGATTTCCTCGGCCTTCCTCTGCCCTTGGCGGGCGCAGGCGCGGTCTCGGTACGTTGGCGCTTGGGTTGGCGACTGGAGGAGGACTCTTCAGCATCGGTAGCGGGTTCTTCCACGGTGCGCCGTTTCCTGCCTGGTTTGGCTGCGGGGGCCGGTTCTTCCACGGCTGCGGCCTTGCCCTTGGCTCCCCTTCCTCGCTTTCCAGCAACCTGGGGCGCGACTTCTTCTGGTTCACCCTCTGCCTCTTTCTCTTCCTCCCGCTCCTCCTCTTCTACTACGGGCGCAGCAGGTTTCCGCCCACGCTTTACAGCTGCGGGTGCTGGTGAGGGTTCCTTGGCCTTGGGCTTCCTTCCAGGCTTCTTCTTGGCGGCGGGCACAGACACAGCTTCGGGAGCTTCGTCTGGTTCCTCCTCTTCCCGGTCTGCCGGCTGCTCCTCCTCAACTTCCCCATTATCCTCCAACATGGCCATAGACTCCTCAATGAACGCATCAGTCTCATCCGGCACCGCAGTGTTTTCTTGCTCCTCTTCCTCCGCTTCATCGTGATAGCCATTTAGCCCGTTGACGCCGTTCGTCGTAGTCGGTTGAGACAGGGAGCGTCCACCAGCCTTGAGAGCCTCAAAGTTCAGTCTCCGCCTGGCAGTGTTGATATCTTCTGCAGGCTGGGAAGAGGAACCGCGATCGTAGTTTTCTTTGTTGGCGCCAAGGGATCCACGAGTGGGCGACGAGCTGCGCGCCATTAGACGGTTCCGCGCGGGCGAGTTGACGACAACCTTGACCGGGGATCGGTTGGTGCGGCTGACGGGGAGGGGAAGTCGGCTGGCGTTGCCGTTGAGGAGAGCTGCTGGGGCGATGCCGGAGGCTATTTCACAGAATAGAGTCAGCAATTACGCGGCGTGTTGGGTGTCCGTGTGACTATGTTGGGAAAACGCACTAGTGGTAATGTCCATGTCCTCGCTATCTGCCCTACCATCCTCCGAGGCGCCACCATCTTCGTCGTCTTCGCCTTCGTCTTCATCGCGGTCCTCGGTCGGCTTGTGGGGAGAGGAAAAGAGGTCCTCAAGGGGTTGCATGCCATGTTCGTCGCGGATGCCCGAGTCTTTCAGGGTGACACCGGTTTTGCTGGAGAGTTGGTTAGCATACCCAGGTATCCTCGGAGAGATGAAGAGAGAGACCCGTGAGCGCATACCGGCCAGCAACTCCCAACTCGTACACATGCTCTGGCTCGGGGAACAGACTGCGCCGCGCTCCTGACGGCCGTGGCGCCATCTTGTTGATTTGTTGTCTGTCGTCGGGATAACGCTGATTTTCGTCCGCCCTTCAGTCGATTGTCGCGTGTTGTTGCACGTGGGTGGGTGGGTGGGTGTGTACTCAGTGTGAAGAGAGCAATTGAAGTGATTGCGCGGGCGGCCGAAGGAGCAGGCAACTAAGTGGAACAGCAGCAAGCACAACTGAATGGAGATGTACAGGAACCAAGCAGCAGGCAAATAATCAATGGCGGGATGCTAGGTGCTGAAGGTTTCTCAATGGAAAGGTTAGTTGCTTACTTGGGGGGTTCTGGGCGCCAAGCTTCCTTTCCCCCCTACAAATCGACTTTGTAGGGGGCGGCAAAAAATTGGGACAGTATTTTAATATGGGACACCCCACATAGAAATTTACTAGCAAAGTAACCCATCCACATACTTAACACCCTACTTATACATGGGGATTTATTAATATAACGTTATTGGGAAGCCTAATAAACTACCCAAATAGGAAGGGCATATATGTAATAATAAATTTAATAATTTATTTTACTTATTTGAGTATATTATAGTATTATACTGGCTAATTAAAGTCCTTCTTTACTTGTATATGCCTTAGATTATCTCCTCCTACCTTAACGAGGTTTGCCCCGGCCATTGCCCGTTTAAATGCCTTATTCTAAATCGGATTGTACCTTTAATTAATAGTTTTATTGTATTTCCCTATATAGTATCCTCGAATCTACGTTCTTGTAAGAGGAGAGGAGTTATAGGGGTAATTACTAAGGAGGGACTATTAGATTTGGGTAATAAGGTTATATTAATAGTAGGGAGTATATACTATTCAAATTTCTTTTTAGGAATTAGTATAATTAGGGGTTTAATTAATTGACCGGCTAGTTTAATCCTTTTTTTACTAGGTAGAAGTTTGTTACCTTCCTCGTCCCTATTGTCGTTATCCTCCTCCTCCTCCTCCTCCTCCTCGTTATTAATTTTTTTATTTATTACTATAGCGATATTATCCTTATAAAAATCCTTAATAAGAATTTTATTTATTTTATCTTTTAATTGTATTTATACGCGGGGATTTTTAATAATTTGAGAGAAAATTTCTAATTGGGCGGCTGTTTATATTAATTGGGCGGTTGGTTAGTAGTTAGTAATAATTTTAATATCCTTATTATTAAAAATAATTAGTAGGGGGTGCTTTGTATAGTATTAGGCTTGCTAGTGAGTTAGCGGCTTACCCTCTTTATTTATTTAATAAGGGGGATTCTCTTCTATGTTAAATATATCGTTATTGTGAATTGGGATATACTTCTACTAGTAATTTTTCTTATACTTTTTAAATTAAATATTCTATATAATTTTAATTAACTTCCCCCTTTCTTTATTATCTTTCTATTACTCTTTAAACTATTTTTATATAATATTATTAATTCTTTTTATAATTTACTCTTACTACTTTATTTCATTTTATATCTCTCATTAAATTCTCTCGATTACTATAGTATTAAATTAGTCTTTTAAAAGAAATAGAGATAATTTACCGGTGGGGATTTTATATATTTTTTTCTTTATACGACGGTTGAAGTTAGCCTCCTTCTTGCGATTATGCCGGTTTCTTTTTTAAATTTTATTATAGTTAAATATAGCTTCCCTTATAATTTAGAATACGTAAGGGTAATTAATACAGGTAGGAGAATTAAATGTATAAGAATAATAGTTAGTAATATAGTTAATAATTTTAATAGCCTTTTTAAACCAATCTTCGTATAGTATTATATTAGGATAGGTGGGGTTGAATTTAAGAGAGCGCTATTTAGTTTTAATTTATAATAATACCCTTTATTTATTAATTAATTAAAATTTAATATTTTTAAATTTATTTATAATATTATAAATTGTAAAATTATTAGTAATAATATTATTAAACTTATGAATAAAAGTTATACGGTTAAAATTATATTTACTCTATTAAATAAATTTATAAAATACTTTTTAGTAATATAATTTGAAAGAGGAGAAGATTCCTATATTAAGCAGTTGTATAATATAGGTAGAGTACGGCGGTAAGGCGAGGATATAGATATTAAATGCTTTAGTATACTATTTGATTGCTATATTGTAGTAGCTATTAAAGTTATTAATAATAAGTAATTGATATATAGGATCTATATTGGGGAACTACCTTTTACTAATACTAATAGTATAATCTTTTAATTAATAGCCGTTAATATTATATTTATATTAATTGCAACCGAATTAATTTATAAAGCTATACCCGGTCTTCTTAAATATTAGCGATATTTTAAAGCTATATAAATTAAAATACTTTAATTAATCGAATATAATCTCTATATTCGAAAAGCCGGTAAGTAACTTTATAAATTGTATATCGCTAAGGAGATTATTAATAGTAAATTCCTTAATAGGATTAATTTTAAAAATAAAGTAGATAGGAATATAATTACTAATAGTATTTATACTAGTAATTAGAATATATAATTCTCTATTAACTAAATTAAATATTTTTAATTGGAATTAACCATTAATATATTACAATTAGAAGGGATTATACTCAATTAAATTAAATTTCTCCTACTAACCTTCCTTTTATCCCCTAACTCTTTTAATATAATAATTTTTATATAATTATTTAATACACAACTAATACAAATACTATATTTGTTGCTATTCTAATAATTATAAGGAAGGATGGTGGTAGTAATATTCTTATATTTATTGAATTAATTATTTACTAATTCGGTATTTAATTCCTAAAAGCGATACTTAAAATCTATAGCACAATACATTATTAAATATAATTCCGGATAATCAGTTATAAACCTTATAAACTAGCGTTTATTAAGCTTGGTCGTTGGTAAGTTTATTCTTATCGACTTTAATTAATTAATAGTAACTATTATTATTAATTATAATGTAAAGAATTTTCCTCTAAAATAGAAGATTATATACGCGACGATAGCCTCCTCTTTATTATATATCAGCGACCGTAGGCGCCTTTATAGCCGTAATAATACTGTTGGCTTACTAACTTCCCGCAGTAATTTCGCATACCGACTAATTAAACTACGAAATTCCCTAGTTATACGTATAATATTTTTTATAGAAGGAGGTTTCCTATAGCTATTACTAGATTTAAGAGAACCGTACCGGTTATACGTATTGAAATACTACTAGGCAGCGGTTATACTAGTATAGGGGACGAAGGAGTAATTTACAAGTATTAGTACTAATAAGTTAATTAGCGATTCAATTAATTTATAAATATATAAAAGTTTTATTAATTTATAGTTTTATAGGGTAATATGATAATGAAAAATAGTAATTGGGCACTGTTGTTAGCGTTGTTATTAAGCGAAATTTATAATATAAAAAAGCGATTTTGCGCGGCGTTAATAGGCGAATGTGCATGGGTTATTTCGGCACTGTCCCATATTAAAATATTGTCCCAATTTTTTGCCGCCCCCTACAAAGTCGATTTGTAGGGGGGAAAGGAAGCTTGGCGCCCAGAACCCCCCAAGTAGGTGTTGATGCTGGGCGTGTCGTGCTTCTTCAGTGCCCGTTACCCACTGGAAAGAGACCGTGACGGGGAGACCAGACCACCTCCAGGATGTGGAGACCTTGGGCTCAACGGGAGTGGGGCATCAGCTCTGAGACCTGGAGCTTGCAATTGGTCGGCGCGTTACCAGACGCGTTCCCCCAACGTCAACTTTGTTTTCTGTGACAACCATCAATTCATCGTACAAGCACCCAATTCTTGCCCACGCAGCGCCTCGAGTCTTCGAACAACCGTAGTCGTATCCGCCCTCCATTTCACAATAAGAACCACTATTAGTCACAACAACAGCCCGTACCGACCCCGACGACCAGCTATTATGGCCGACATCCAAGGCGAAGCAGGACCCTTCCTGCCCCCGACCATATCCCCTCCCGCCCTCCTTTCCGGCGTTTCCCAAGCCTACTTCTCGCCAATTCCTCCTCAACTCCTCGCCGACAACACCCCATGCTGCCTAGGCGTTGACGAAGCCGGCCGTGGTCCTGTCCTTGGCCCCATGGTCTACTCGGCCTTCTACCTCCCTCTCACGCTCTCCGATTCGCTCCTAAAACAGAAGCACAGCTTTGACGACTCCAAAGTCCTGACTCCCACCGTCCGCCTATCCCTAATGAAGGAACTTTGCACCAAAGATACCGAGCTACACGACAACTGCGGGTATGCAACGTCGTCGTTGAGTCCGTTGTCAATCTCGAGCGGCATGCTCAAAGCCAGTAAAGCCCAGATCTACAACCTCAACCAACAAGCCATGGACGCTACCATTGCTCTGATAAAGGGTATCTATGAACGAGGCGTCAACGTTACGGATATCTTTATCGACACGATTGGACAGCCGGCGGCATATCAAAAGAAGCTGGAACGGGTGTTCCCGACGGCCAAGATCACGGTCGCGAAGAAGGCAGATTCGCTGTACCCCGTGGTGTCGGCGGCGTCAGTAGTGGCCAAGGTTACAAGAGATATTGCGCTCGAGGTCCTGTGGGCGGATCGGAGTAAGCAGATGCGGAAGAGGAAAAGGGACGACGAGGCTGGGCTTGGGAAGCGGGCAAAGCTGGAGAGAGGGGACACAACAGGCACAAATGGCACAGATGCTATGGATGTTGACGAGCCATCACAAACTCAAAGCGGTTCGCCAAAGCCAGCAGAGGAGGAGGATGAGGAAGAGGAGGTGGAGACAAACGAAGCGATGGCATGGGGCTCTGGCTACCCCTCCGACAGCAAATGCGTCTCTTGGCTCAAGCAGAACATGCATCCGGTTTTCGGCTGGGGTCCTGAATGCCGATTCTCTTGGGGAACAGCAAAAGACATGTTGGAAACCAAGGGAGGGGTGAAGGTGGATTGGCCGGAGGAAGAGGAGGAGGAGACACAAAAGTTAACCGACTTCTTCATGGCCAAGAGAGACCAAGCAGAGGTGGATGTGGATGACTTAGGGACATGGTTCGGTGCGCCTGCTGGGGTAGAATGTTTCTAGGTGTAGTGGTTCCCTTCCAGATCTTCTGTCAGTCAATGCCTCCCCCTTTATGTCATGTCAACGATTGCGTGTTAACCGACATCTGCCCAGGTTTCTCGAAACAGCCAAGTGACTAGAACTTCTAATACTAAGTTCAACCCAGGCGAATAGTCGTCAAAATAAACCAAACACATTACGGTCAATACAATACACCCGGGCATACCCCCTATCACGCATTCAAGCATCTTCAGTTTACCCTTGAATCTGGATTCTAGGCAGTTCCTGAATGGAAGAATCTCTAAACAACTCTGGCCGATGCGTTCCGTTTATTCTTATAGCCGCTCGCCAGCGTAGCAGCTCGGCAATCATCACTCATCGCCTATCACCCCTCCCTCGGCACTCGTTACTCCTCACTGATGGTATCCAATCTCTCCCGCGCCCAACTGTTGACTAATTCCGATGCACAAATACCTCTACATACATGTCCAGTAGACTTCGGACATCCGGATGAGCACATAGGCCGCAATGACCAAGAAGCTACCTCTAGCCTGCGAAATGCGAGGCAGCAGTGGATCACGACAGAGCATGCAGCCACGAAACGAGTCCCAAAGTCTTCCGTCAACCAACGCCCAGTACCGTTATAAAGGACTCTTGTTCCCACCCAAATGCCCATTGACCTTCCTCATTTGCAAGCCCTGCTGAAACTCAACAACACGACCCCAACCACAACACCAAACCCGAAAATCCAAAATGTCTTGGCGACCACCCCCTATGTCCTCCACTGCGCGCCTCATTGTCCCCTTGCGCACCCCTATCCACACCTCCGATGACGCCTGTAACAACGCCGCCGTCCAGCTGCCGGCCTTTTGCCAGCACACCGGTCTTCAGGTCTATGCCTACGCAACCAACTCTGACGCCCCCAGCCCTTTGGCGACTGCTGTGAACGTCCGGTTGAGCTCGATTCCGGTGGAAGATGAGGGTTGGAGCCGGTATGTGGTGTTGAATGGGTTGACGCTTCCTCGGACTGGGAGGTGGAGGGTGTTTCTTTATGGGGTGGTCCCGCTTCACAGGAAAGTTTGGCAACCCAAGGGCGACGGGACTTGGACCCTCAACTCAACCCCATTGTCCGACGCCCCAAGTAGGTCTTGCCGCATCGTCCAGTCCCTTGGACGTGGGCGTGTAGTCCTAGAGGTTGACATGTCCGATTGTCCGTCGTCCCGCGGCTCGTGTCGGCAACCGAAGCGCATCAGCAAGTACGAAGGCAAGTGCGAAGGCAAGAACGACCTGAAGTGGCCTCAAGGACCGCCGCGAGAACCGCATTTGTACCTACCTAGAGGTACCTCTGTGTAAGCAGCTGAGGATGCGGTCATCATTGACAGGTTCAGTTGCTTGATTTCCGTCCAGGCGGGTGCACGGTGCAATACAATTATTAATCAAAATGGGGAGGCGGCACGGAATCCTTTCTTTCCAGATACTGCAATGGACTGCAGTCCATCCTGCACCGGGCAATCATGTCCGGTTTTTATCGAACGCTGCAGATATTGCAGTCCGCAGTTCCTTGCCAGTCATCTTCCTCTTGCCACTTGACTCACTCGGCGGGCATTCGTTCAATTTTGTCTGGACACTGTTTCCCATCGGGCTCCCCTCCGCCATATAAAGTGGCGGCACAACCTGGAAGGTGAGAACAAAAAGCTTTCCACTGGCCATTTCCCAAACTGGTGTCTCCAGCTCCCTCTTTTCCTGCTAACCCGAGCCTTCTCGAACCCTCGCCGGTACCATCCCCAATCGATACGAACCGCGACAAACATGACCACCTTGACCGAGTTCCACCTCTTTCCCTTCCTCCCGTGGGAGATGAGAAACAGAATCTGGGAACTCGCCGTTCGCCCACTCGACCGACCCAGCGCCCACGTCTTCGATGTCGACTGCGTTTTGCTCGATGAGGAGCGACTAGAAGAAGGTGGCTCCTACAGTCAGTGGCGGGACAAACGCTATCAGTTCGACACGAAGCAAAAAGAGAAGGACAAGCAAGAGCGCCGTCTGGCCCTGAAAGAAGGCGATATTTGGGTCTCGCCAATACGCCAAGACTGTTTCTCCATTAACTGGGTCTCCATTGATAGAGGCTACATTTCTGACACGTATCAGTATCATCTTCTATCTGCCCGTGTTCCTGCAGCCACGCTACCCGCCCCCGGGGTCGCTGGTAGTAACCCGTCGGTATACATGGTTGATGGAGGACTTTGGACCGCTTGCAAGCAATCTCGTGAAGTAATGAAGAAAGCTTTCGATAGTGACAAGTGGGACAAGTTGAGGATGAACCATAAGCAGTTCGAATGGCGATCTGTTCGTGGAAGCGACTCCACTTTCGGGGAGGGGTTACCATACGCGGGTTTGAGTAGGGAAGGAATTTCCAAGATGGCGTCGACCTTCTACACGTCTAGCTCGTTGCCGTCATCATCAACATCATCTAGCGGCAGCACCACTATCACCGGTACCACTACAAACCCAAAGGAAGACAACAGCAACGTTGCATCTCCTACTACCATACTTGGCAAGCGCTACTTCACCGTCCTCCCCCATCAAGATCTTTTCATCTTCAGACTGTCTACCGGGGTCATGACGTCTTCTTGGGACGAGCTATTCTGGGATACTCTTGCCGAAAAACTCCCCCTGTGCGCGCAACACAATGGGTTCCTCGGCTTGACTAACTTTGCAATCGAATTCAACCCAGCCTGGGGACAGTCTGATGCCTACCAAAGCCTCGATAAATGTCCGCAGGTTACAAACATGACAAAGGCCACAGAAGCCCTCGGAGTGTTACACGATCGCAATTATTACGGCAAGACCGGAATTGAAAGACACGACTGCGTTCTGTGGTTTATCGATTACCGGCTGGTTCCCAAGCCCAAAGCAGGCACTGCCAGCACCATCATCACAACCCCTATCATCTCTGACACCTGGGGCACTGCGTCCTGCTCTTCCCAAATGGTCTTTCACGATGGAAACGGTGGCCGCTACGTACCCGTAGAGGAATGGACGATGGATTTCTTGGACTCTATTGAGCAGACATACGCTTCTGCGGAGGAGTACTTCTACCCAGAGGGCTCGCTGAAGCCCATCAAGTATGAAGATGGTGGAGAGTACACGGACTCATGCCGTGATTTTATTTGCAAGGCACTCTACCCATATTGGTTTGACGCGCACGAAGAGTACATGGACCGGGGTAGTGGGACGCCGCCAGAACAAGCAATGCCGTGGGCGGCGCAATGGGGAATTTTGGCTTATCTACCGCCTGGGACAGAGGAAGGGACAGGCATACATACATCATGAGGTGTGCTTGAGAGAGTAGTCTACTGTATGGATTCATTGCGAAATACAGAATCCGAAGTCGGGTAACGGGTTGCCGAGAGTGACTAGAAAAGCAAACTTCCCAGATCATCATCATCGAGGCAACCTCCGACTTGGTTACCTTGATCTCGCAAGCCCATAGGAAACTCCAGATTAGCACGCAATGATCCAACAGTGTTCTATTTAATCTGCTTGTTTTCTTTTCCGATTAGCTCGAACCCTTGGGATGCTTGGGTCAACGTTTGTACACATTTCCGTACTTCTACCATCACACCAATACACGCATATCTTTCCACGATGAAAGACAAGTCTCATTTTGAGCACGCAAATACCTGTTACCTGTGCTGATATTCCACGCCTAAAATTGAAGCTCATTGACGCATTCTAACTATGTACCTATCCAAGCTGGCAGTCTCATGCATCGTCGTGAGGTTTCATAGGACGGGCCACATGCAAGATGACCTGAACCTCGTACAGAGTCCCAGAACTACCAAGCTAACATTGAACCCGAACCAGACCAACATGGTGACACGGGGAGGGATTGGGACATGAATAGCCGGCGATGACTTGGATCTAGAGGGACTGAAATCGCACTGCCCTGGACATATTACGTCGGAAGGGTTTCTTCAGTTCATACTTATGAAGTGGAAATTGACTCGAATTTCGGAGAATGGCATCTCTTCCTCTTGGGTTGCGCTTGGCTCAGCATGGCATTTGGCGCCCCGACCGCAATTAAAGTTAGGATCTCTTGTTCGCAACATCACTCACTCCTTCCTCGCCAAGCCAACTGGGAAGCCAGAAACAGTAAAGGTAACTTCCTTCCCAACACTTCAGTTAACGAGCCGCACGACTGCGCGCCATTCATTTTCGCCATTGGCTGATGAGGGAGTGAAGTCTACCCACTGTGAGCTAAGAAACTGAGCGTACGATTCTTGTGGCTGGGATGGAAACATTGTCATCAATTGAAACGATGCGGGCTTTTCACTTGCTAAAAACAAGCGAGAATGTGGTAGAAAAAAAGAAGAGATGTGACTTGGCTCGGGGTCAAAGCCATGACTTCCAAGTGATTTGCGTTGAAATGGCTACTTCTAAGTAAGAGTTGTTAATGTGTTTGTTGGTTCTGGTGATGCATGCATGGTATTCGGATTGGAGGTAGATGAAGCTTGGCGTATGTAGAGGTATTCTTCAATTTCGTGGGCCCTCGACATCTTGGGAACTCGCTAATTCGTGTATTGTGCTGTAATTACGGCCTGCAAGTAGTCCGTGCACACCACACAAGCCCAATAATTCAGCCAGAACAAAGCGCAACACCAAGCTGGATGAGTTTCGAGACCTTAAGATGCAAGACCCCTTTCTTGAATCCAAAGAGCCCTTCGGAAAGGAACCCAACAAATCGAATGTGTTTCATCCTTGATTTCCTTTCGAGGTTGTGATTTTCTTGTGTGCGAATATGTGGGAGTTTCCCTTCTCCAAGACAAATTCGACAAAGAATGTCTGCAGCATCACCACAATGATGCTCTTGTCATTGCAGCCGCCCAGGCCGCTGGATGTTATATGGATGGGAACTTAGTAAGGCAATTCATAGTAATAAGAGCAGTTGCCGTCGAAGCTTAAAGGTACAATGCAAATCACATTTTTTGCGTCACATTCGGACAGGTGGATGTTATTTTGAACAATCATGAATGAATTGTCTTCATCAAAAGGAAAAGTGATAACCATGGGAATCGTGATTAAATACAAAGCCATGCAAATGTTTCGTTTTTGCCCTCCTCCTTCTCCATTCATAACACTTTTTCCCTCTTTTGTTCTCTTTATGAGACGGACTGAGACTGCAAAAGCAAAGCAGATCTAGGCCTTGTGACTTAAAACCCATACCCGTTTAACTCCGCGTAAGTACCTAAGACCACACCATGTGCGATCGATCGTGCCAATCTACTGCGCGTAGTGTGAAATAAAAATGGGAAATAAGAGATAAAAGGAAAAGGTCGATGAGGATGCATTACTTCAGATCGTGGACGAATGCATTTAGTCGACCTCCTCGACGGTGGGGCCCTCGTTGTCGTTGGAGCCAGGGGCGCCGCCGGGGAAGCCACCGGGGGCAGCACCGGGCATGCCACCGGGAGCACCGCCAGCACCGTAGAACTTCATCATGATGGGGTTGGCAATAGCCTCGAGCTCCTTCTGGCGGTCCTCGTACTCCTCACGAGTAGCCTGCTGGTTCTCATCGAGCCAGGCGACAATCTTGTCGATCTCGGACTTGAGCTTCTCCTTGTCGGCAGCGTCAAGCTTCTCGTCGACCTTGGAGTCGCTGAGGGTGTTGCGGAGAGAGTAGGCGTACGACTCGAGGCCGTTCTTGGCAGCGACACGCTTGGCCTCAGCCTCATCCTCCTCCTTGAACTTCTCGGCCTCAGCAAGCATGCGCTCGATCTCCTCCTTGGACAAGCGGCCCTTGTCGTTGGTAATGGTGATCTGGTTGGTCTTGCCGGTGCCCTTCTCGAGGGCAGAGACGTTCATGATACCGTTGGCATCAACATCGAAGGTAACCTCGATCTGGGGAACACCGCGGGGAGCGGGGGGAATGCCGGTAAGCTCGAACTTGCCGAGAAGGTTGTTGTCCTTGGTGCGCTGACGCTCACCCTCGTAGACCTGGATAAGAACACCGGGCTGGTTGTCGGAGAAGGTGGAGAAGACCTCGGACTTCTTGGTAGGAATGGTGGTGTTGCGGGGGATGAGCTTGGTCATCATGCCACCAGCAGTCTCGATACCGAGGGAAAGAGGGGCAACGTCGAGAAGAAGAATCTCGGAGGTGGACTTGGAAGAAGTGTCACCGGAAAGAATAGCGGCCTGAACGGCAGCACCGTAGGCAACGGCCTCGTCAGGGTTGATGCTTTTGTTTGGTTCCTTCCCTCCCTCCATTGAAGAAAAAAAAAGAGTTAGTTTTGCGGTTGGGCTGAGGGCGGGAGAAAAGACTTACAAAGTAGTCGGAGATCAACTTCTGGATGCGAGGAATGCGAGTCGAGCCACCAACCAGAACGATCTCATGAACCTGAGACTTGTCGATCTTGGCATCAGTGAGGACGCGGTCAACAGGCTGAAGAGTAGAGCGGAAAAGATCCTGGCACAGCTCTTCGAAGCGGGCACGGGTGATCGAAGTGTAGAAGTCGATACCCTCGAAGAGAGAGTCGATCTCAATGGAGGTCTGGGCAGAAGAAGAGAGAGTACGCTTGGCACGCTCGCAAGCAGTGCGGAGACGGCGGAGAGCACGAGCGTTGGTGGAGAGGTCCTTCTTGTGCTGTGAGGGGGTTAGCATCTGACAATATGCATTAAATAAGACGTTTCATGCCATGAGCCAAATGGTTTAGGCATTGAACTCAGTCTTCCAGGCATTACTGACCTTGCGCTTGAACTCCTGAACAAAGTGGTTGACGAGACGGTTGTCGAAATCCTCACCACCCAAGTGAGTGTCACCGGCAGTAGACTTGACCTCAAAGATACCCTCCTCGATGGTAAGGAGAGAGACATCGAAGGTACCACCACCGAGATCGAAGATGAGGACGTTGCGCTCACCCTCAACCTTCTTATCGAGACCGTAGGCAATGGCGGCAGCGGTGGGCTCGTTGATGATACGGAGGACGTTGAGGCCAGCAATGAGACCAGCATCCTTGGTAGCCTGACGCTGAGAGTCGTTGAAGTAGGCGGGAACGGTGATGACGGCGTTGTTAACGGTGCCGCCGAGGTAGGCCTCAGCGGTCTCCTTCATCTTCTGGAGGATCATGGCGGAGATCTCCTCGGGGGTGAAGACTTTGGTCTCGCCCTTGAACTCGACCTGGATGACGGGCTTGCCACCACGGTCGATGACCTTGAAGGGGAAGTGCTTCATATCGGCCTGGACCTCGGGGTCGGAGAACTTGCGACCAATGAGACGCTTGGCATCGAAGACGGTGTTGGCCGGGTTCATGGCGACCTGGTTCTTGGCGGCATCACCGACGAGACGCTCGGTGTCGGTGAAAGCGACGAACGAGGGGGTAGTGCGGTTACCCTGGTCATTGGCAATGATTTCGCAGCTGGTCAAGATGAGTTAGTAACTTTCAAGGTGAGCCAAGGTGAGCCGTCAGGGTGCTGTAACATACCGGTCCTCACGGAAGACACCGACGCAAGAGTACGTCGTACCAAGATCGATACCGACGGCGGGAGCCATTGTGAATGTGTGAGATGTGCTGAAAAAGGGAAATGGGTATCGTTAGGAGAAAAAGAGAAAAAAAGGTCGTCGTTGAGTGAGTTGAGAACGCTTTTCAACAATTCCCAGAATGTGACTGGAAAAGTAGAAAAAAAAAAAGAGAAAAGCTGAGATCGAGTTTGGTTTGCGTGGAGGGAAGTCGCAATTATTTGTTTGCTGAACAGTGGTCTGAGAAAGAAGCCAAGGTGGGCTGTGGAGGGGCAGACGGAGCTCCAGAATTTAACTTGGTGGTCGAGCTTGGTCGTTCTTGCTTCTACGAGCTTCTGTTAGTTTCCTGGCTCCACTACGCCGGGGTACATCAGGGTACTTGTGCGCGCCGGGGCGCATTCTGTCGCATGCTGTCGCATCCAGTCGCATTGCCCAGTCGCAAACCGTACCAACCGGTTCCCGCTCGCCGCCTCCAGATGCTAATCGAACCTTCTTTCACGCGCCAGCAACGTCTTTTTTGGTTTGTTAGCAATCTGACAATCCCTTCACTACAAGGCTCTGGGAGCCGCCTCGCGCGATTCACTGCAAGTAGCTTGGTAATTCGATATGTAAAAGTTGGCTGACCTGGATTTGCGCCTGAACAAAAAAGGTACGTACCTCGGTTACTATTGGCGCGCGAATGGCCCGTTCACTCTCCGCCAAGCCAAAGATGGAGACAGCCTGTAGAGGTACGTACCTTGAATAGACTCAAACGAAGGGTCACACTTTTTCTGATGTGGGCGCCCAGACAAGGCAAGGCTCGAATTGCCCCAGACTTTGATTGCCATGTTCACGGAAGATGGGACTTGCATGTGTTGTGTGTCTGTCAGCCCATGGCCGCCCCATAGTTCCAGCTAGACGGCTCTCGCATGAAGCTGTTCTGCCCTACGGCCTTGTTGAGCCTGGATGTTCACGGTCAGGGGAAGCCCACTATGGGTGATACGTGCCCGTGGGTGGTGGTGAAGGACTTTGACAGCCATGTTGTGAACTACATCGTCCAAAACTTCAAGCAATGTATTGAAAGTATGTAATTATTTACAGTATTGATGATGATTACCTCGCGTGGAAGGCTTCGGTTGCCGTTTGCGACTCTGCAACTACCCCCTTTCTTTTGTTTACATTGCCCCTTTTTTCATAATTCCCCCATTCAGTCGCAGCCTCAACAGCTTCAAATTGCGCCAACGGTCAGACGATGCGATGTTGCGATTTAGGTATATTAACAGCGACCGGCATGTCTGTCTGCATGTTGTAAACTTCCAAATCTTTTTAATTGCTGTTGTGCCTTTTCAGTGGTTACAAGCATAACAAAGAGGCCCCCCCAAGCTCTGTCGCAAACTGGTCGCAAAATGCGGCTGTGTACCTCAGCTTCTTCTCCAGGCTGTGTGCGCGAGGGGTGCAGTGGTTTGTGGTTTGCGCGCGCGCGCTTGGCGATTGCGATCAGTTGCGACAGGTTTCTAGAAGTACCTCGACGTACCTGGCCGCTAAACTTGGATACTCACCCTTGAACTCACCCTTGCATCATGGGCGAGCTGGCAGTGGAATGTGGGGTTTCTGTTTACAGATGGAAAGTCATGACGGTTTCGATGCCTGATTTCTGACGGAGAGATCGAGATTGGTCAAGACCGAGAGTCTCGAGGCTGATTGTTTTTTTTTTCTTTCTTAGTTACGTACGCTTCATCGTTTAACTTCTAATTGTATATCGGTTTGCCGGCGTCTTGATTGGAACTCTTTGCCTTTCTGTATTTTTCAGCTTTCGTTCTTCGGTTCCTTTCAGCTCCAGAAGATGAAAGAAGCCCGAGGTCCCGTCTCCACCAACCCCATTCCAGCATTGCCCGCCGGCCCCACAGCGGCCCATGAAGTCATGGCCCGGGATTGCGATAAGTGGGATAAGGCACTAGCGTGCCCCGCAATCTGACATTGTGAGGCCGAGGGGCAAAGGAGGGCGGGGCGGGGCAGGCAAGAAGTCCCCTCGCTAAAGACTGGCGGGACGGGAGCATCAGAGATGGAGAGCTGACTACTATTGAAGAATTGGAAGCGAGGAGAGGGATCGATTTCGGTTTCCAGGTCCGTCCGAGTCAGCGCTGGATCTTGATCCCAGTCCTCCCCATCGTCTTTCGCGTCAAAGCTCCCATCATCTCTTTGGTCAAACCCTACCTATCCAGCATCATCGACGAGAGACAGGAGCTCCGACCGCACCGCCCATCATGTTGATCAAGGAGAGCTACGCCGACGTCAAGACCTCTGCCAATGGCAAGGAGTCGACGATGAGTTAGTCAAATCACCTCCTTTTGCCTCGCACGTCGAACCCGATGCGCTCCGTTACTCATGAAATTTCGAGTTCCACGCCCCGTCGCAAACACCCATCCCATTCCATAGTCCAGCTTGAATCTGACTGCGCCGAACAATACAATACAGGAATCTTCCTCTTCCACCCAACCATCCCCGGATATCCCAATGCGTGAGCACCACCGTGACATCTAGACATCTAAACGTGCCTCGTCTCATACGTCTTTCCGCTTTGCAGGCGCTTCCCCGGAGTCGCCCTCTTCAGTGAAATCTACCAAGGTCAGACCGATCTTAAGAGCTCCCATGCCCGGCCCCATTCCTTGCGATGCCTACATACCCCACGGACCCCGTGGAGGGATGGAGCTGTTCGAGCTCTAGGCTGGAGAATGGACCACGCGGGAGGTTCTTTGCGGGCAGATGCTCCGGGCGCAAGGGAATCCTTGGTGGCTGGTACCGGTGACCACCGATAAGCTGACGATGACTTTGCGCCCGAACAGTGACCGGTCCCGTTGCCCGTTTTGCCCGCCAAATCGCCGGTCAAGGCTACATCGTCGCCGCCCCGAGTAGCTATCACGACTTTACCGGCCCCGAGCCTCTCGCCTATGATGTTCCCGGCACCGATCAAGGCAATGAGTGGAAGGTAGTCAAGACGCTGGACTCGTACGATGAAGACTCGCGCAGGACGGTAGACTACCTCCTGTCCCTGCCGACCTGCACTGGGCGCATTGGCGCGACGGGTATGTGTCTGGGCGGCCATCTTGCGCTCAGAGCTGCTGTATGTCTCACATTCTTGCTGACCGTCATAAATCAAGCTCCAATAACTAACTTTACACAACACAGCTCGACCCTCGCATAACCGCTGCCATTCCCTACTTCGGCACCGACATCCACTCGCGTACCCTCGGTCCCAACGACGGCCCCAACACCTCACCCTCCGCTCCCGCTCTTCGCCCCGATCCGACAACTGCGTCTGGCTTTGTCGCCCCTCACACCATTGACCAGTTCGACAAACTCAGGCACTGCGAAGTGGCCATGATCTTCGGTGTCAAGGACACACACGTGCCCGACACCGGGCGCGATCTAATTCGCGCCAAGCTGCGCGACGCCGGAGTGACGTTCAGCTTCTACGAGTTTGCGTGGGCGCAACACGCGTTTATCAGGGACGAGTTGAGCAAGGGGCGGTACGATCCCGCGATCACTAAGGTTTGCTTTGAGGTTTTATTGGAGACCTTTGGGCGGGTTTTGAAGACGGACCTGGGCCAGGGGACGGGCGAAAAGGAGGAGGTGGAGCACGTTTGTTAGGTCATGGAACGGAACAAACAAGAAGAGGAGGTGGAGGCGAGTGCTGTGCGAGTGTCCAGTACATCATGCACCACTGGAAACAGGAATTTCGGCTCTTCCAGGTGAGTTCCCGTTGGCTGGCAATAGACTAAAAGACCGCCGAAGCAAAAAGCACCCCCGAGGCGATACCGTTTCGCTGTGTCCTACAAAAGGAAGATCAACAGCCCGACACGATCGAAATAGACAGAGAATATGGCAAGCCACGAACATCAGCGCTAGGGCTGAGTCTCGACATGTGATGGCGAACAGATACATATCTCTTTCTTCTTGAATATGGGCTGGGGATCTCTTATGAGGAACATCATTTCTTCATCACACTAGCTGAAAAGCAGAAAATATCTGTCCTCTTCTGAGCATATACTCCCATCCAGAGTCCATGGATGTTAGCGCTTCGGTTCCATCGGTTTATACACATTCTCCGCGAATAAGTCAGAGCTTTTGTCCGGAATCGAGCGATATTGCCATGCTGTGCCCTCCATCGTGATATAACTTGCTGGATTTTATCTCCGATCTGTCGCCGATCCAGAGATCATATCCTTAGTAGCTTTTGAGTCCAAGAGGAGAGAGATGAGAAGATCATTACGAATCGCCAACGACGGTGATTGTGGATGCAAAGTATTTGATGCTTTGATGGATGGGGTCTGGGCTTTGGACTTCGGACCGGAATGCTTAAGACTCGACATCGAGATACCGAATACAAAGATGCCTATCTGTTACTTGATTTGGTGGTAGAGTAATCTTGCCATACCCTGATCTGAGGAGTTTTGGCCTGAAGACTGAAAAGAGGGTGGGTGATTGGAGTCACGACAAGTTGGGGGGCATGGCTGTTACGGTACTACTTCTGGAGTATCAGATTTGAAGACGATAGATAGCAGGAAGAATCAGTTGAAGCAAACATGATGATAGCGAAGGTGAGCCATTGGACAGGATTGAGATTGCAACAACCCTTCAACTTACGCGAATAACTGTTGAGACGGCTGGCAATGCCCATTGTGAAATTTGATAACAATGACATCCCAAGAACCTTATAGACAACACCCATAACCAACCTGGTATATCAACATCCTTCCTTGCCAGTTCCCACTCTCCGTTTCCTCACTTCTCATCCAACCCAAGTTGTTCCCGTATCAGCCTCCTCCTCTCCACTTCCCTCCTCTTGAACTCCTCATCACTGACCTTTTCCGGGCCCTCCCATGACTGCCTAAACTCACTATCCCACTCGACCCTCGTCTCCCTACTCTCCCACACATCCTCACTACTCGGCTGTCCGCCGCCATACTTGGCCTCCTCCTTGCTTCGGTAGTACTCCTTGACGGCCTCCGCCTTCATCTCGGGACCGAACGATTTGGTGCGCATGCAAAACCAGAAATCGTCCCACAGCTCCGAGCAGTTCTTCATGGTGCCGTACCGGTACACGGCGTTGAACTGCGCACCCGGCGTCTGGCAGTGCCAGGCGTAGTCGAAGGCGTCGCGACAGGACATGGTGGTGGGAAGACAGTGCTCAGACATGGCGAGGGAGGTTGGGGAGCGCGTCTTTTTGGGCGCTGCTGCTGCTTCGGGTTCTGTGGC